CCTTCTCTCTCTCTCTCTCTCTCTCTCTCTGTCTCTCTCTCTCTCTCTCTCTCTCTCTCTCTCTCTCTCTCTCTCTTTCTCTCTCTCCCTCCCTCCCTCTCCCCCTCCCCCCCTCTCTCCCCCTCTCTCCCCCTCTCCCCCTCCCCCCCCCCTACCTCTCGCCCCTCCTCCTCGCCGCCGCCGCCGCCGCCGCCCTCGCCTCACTCTCGCGCGGGAGACTGCGGCAGGCGTGCACGTGCAGGACTACCTCGGCGCGAAGCCCACGCTGCGCCCCTCGCTCACGGAGGCGCAGGAGGCGGCCGAGGCGATGCTCGGCACTGCGCCCGGCGGAGCCCACGTCGTTCCGCGGCGGCCGAGCCAGATGCCCGCCGCCAAGGCGGCCAAGGCGGAGCACGTGGAGCACGCCATCGCCATCGCCGCCGGGCTCGCCGAGGACCATCACCACCACTCCCACGCGCCTGGGCACGTCGTCCCGCCCGCGGGTCAGCCCGCCGCTGCCGCGGTCGGCGGGGCGCCCGTCGCCGGGGAGGGCGCACGGGCGCCACCCCCCCGCGTGGACTTTGAGCTGGGCGGCCAGAGGCTGCAGGCCGCCATCGAGGCGGCCGAGGCGCCCGAGGGGGGCGGTACCGCCGCGAGCCTGAAGCGGAGGCTCTCGAGGCTGCGGCCGGCGGAGACGGAGGAGCGATGCGCTCCTCCCATCGTGGACGAGGGGTCCGTGGTCGCCTCGGCCGAGCAAGAGGCTTGAGAGCTGAACGCGCGTTGCGCCTGTACAATCGCTCTGCGGCGCAATCGCTCGTGTCGCGCGCTTTGGGTCAGTGACGTCTGCTTTTGCGCACCGGCGTGTTCCGTGTGTGGTGTGATCAAGTGTTTCTCTCTGTGTTTGTACTGCTGAAGACGAAAATGTGGCCTCCGACTATGAGCACCCACTATGACTATCTCTCCCTCGCTCTACAAAACTCTCTACACACTCTGCGTCGTAGCTCGTAGCACTACGGGACTCTCGTAGGGTCCTCGGGCTCGCGCTCGGCCCGGCGGCTCGGCGGGGCTCGGGGCTCTAAATCAGTAATCTCAAGTCTCAAATAGCTACTAATATCACAGGCACAGCAGGTCGCATCAAGACTTCCAGTGTCACCGCTACCCCCACACCGGTGTACACGTTCGCGAGCTCCACCGTGCAGACAAATGTCGCCTCGACTCTCTCGTCGTCAATGGCGGTAGGAGTTGAAGGACTCGTGCTGGTACTCTGCCGCGGTGAGCACCTCGTCGTGGTACGACGCCTCCGGCGCCTCCCCCAGCAGCATGTGCTTGAAGCCGTCCATGCTGATCCCTCCGCCGTACCCCTCCTTTGCGTAGACTGGGGGCGGGACGAGGAAGGTCGAGTAGGGAGCAAAGGAGACGGGCGACAGACCGGGGGCACTCACCGGCATAGTAGGTGCCCGCGTGCGACGCCATGTGTATGCGGCCAAACAGCACTTCGAGCTCCTGCGCGGCGGTGCGACGGCCATCAACATCAACCCCAGCAATCTCGCTCACATGCACGGGACTAGCCGATCCTGGGGTGATATGACGAAATTGCCGTCGAGGTCGGCGCCCCTGAAGAATTCTTCGCACACCTTGTCCATGAGGGGCACCTGCGATGCAGTGAGATCGGGTCAGTGCCAGTGCTTCCGCCCCTATCATGCGATTGTCCGCCACCTCCTTGCTCAGCTGGATCTTGCCGTCGGACGCATACAGCGAGAGGATGCATGTGTCCAGTAGCAGCGACTTGAAGTCACCAAACTGCACGTTGTCGTCCACCGGCACGAAAGCGCGGTCGGCGACGTAGTGCAGCCCGTGCCCCTGGAGAAAGGTCAAAACCTCAGGCGGCGTCAGGAAGCCGTCCGCATCGCTGTCGTATTCGCGGAAGGCGGCCATCAGTAGCTCGTTGAAGATGCGGCCTACAACGAACGAGACGGCTGGCGTCTCGCGGTTCCGCACTCAATGCGCATCTCGCCGAGCAGCGGAAGATGCGGCCTACAACGAACGAGACGGCTGGCGTCTCGCGGTTCCGCACTCAATGCGCATCTCGCCGAGCAGCGCACACCCTCGGTGGCGCTCCCGCTCGACGTCGCGCAGAGCATGCCGGCGCCAGCGACCGGCTGAGCCTCTGGCGCGTACCGCCGCACAAAGTCTGCTCGCGACAATTCGCCCCTCTGCAGCAGCGTCTGCGTCAGGTCGAGCAGCGTCTCTGACTCCGAGACACTCTGCCCCAAGGCGTTGCCAACGTCCTTGATCGAGCGGAGCGCCCCATCCCTCGGCCGGATGACCTGAGGCCGCAAGAGGCGGCGGACAGTCGGAGTTCAGGCACGATAGTAAGAGGGTGGGTGAAACGAACGAAGACTCACCGCCCGCAGCCGGTTTTCATCGTCGTCGATCGGCAAGACAGCGGCCGTGGCGGCCCACTTGTGCTGCTGCAAACTCCTTTGCAGCACGGCGCGCTGCGAGAGGGAGCTCAATAGGCGTGCGGGACCGCTGCGCATGGACGAGCCAAGATGCCGGCGGCGCAACGCAAAGCTGGGATTTCGGCGGGTGGGGGAGGGGTAAAGGGGTACATCATCAGGAGGTACACAAAATATGTAGCCCACCGGCCCCTTTTTTTTAGTTCACGTTCGCCGTTTTGAGAGGGACGTACCCCCCGACGGCCCCTCCCCGGCCGGCTGCTCGTCGAGCCAGTCGAGCCAGCTGCGGCGCGGGCGGAGATGGTGCTCAGATCTCTTGGTGGGGGCGGTCTCCTCTCACGCAGCTTCGCGCTCGCCAGTCGGCGAGGAGCTGCGCTGACGCCAGCTCTGGGCGGGGCGCGGCGCCAGATGGGCGTGGTCGTCGGCTCTCCTCCTCCGGATGAGGTCGATGCGCTCATCATTGGCGGCGGCGTAATGGGCGCGTCGGTTGCCGTCATGCTCAAGCTGCTCCATCCCACGTGGAACATTCGGCTCATCGAACAGCTGGATCGCGTCGGTGCGCATGAGGGGTTTTGGCGACGCGTCCGTTTTGTGTCTCACACACCCTCCCTCCCATGGCGCAGGCGGAGAGTCGTCGAATGAGTGGCGAAACGCGGGCACCGGCCACGCGGCGCTCTGTGAGCCAAACTACACTCCGATGATGGCCAACGGCGAGGTTGACGTCTCGTCGGCTGTCGCAATCAACCAAAAGTTCCTCGTCGGCGTCCAGTGGTGGTGTTGGCTCGCGGAGAAGGGCATCCTGCCCGACACGGCCTTCATCCAGCCCGCGAACCACTGCACATTCGTCCACGGCGATGACAACATCCACTGGCTGAAGAAGCGGGTGGAGGCGCTTAAGAAGGCGCGCCGACCCCTGCGCAGTGGCCTAAGCGGCGCCTGCCCCTCACCACTCCGCCTGCCCCTCACCCACTCCCCCCGCCCCAGCTGCCGTCGTTCGCTGCCATGGAGTACAGCGAGGACTACGACACCATCAAGGAGTGGGTGCCACACATCTGCTCCGGCCGCCCTCGCAACGGTGAGGCCGTCCCGCGCCCCGCACGCAAGCCCTCGCGCGCCCACCCTCACCACGCACGCAGGCGAGAAGATCGCCATGTCGCGGCACCCCGACGGGACGGAGTGCAACTACGGGCTCTTGACGCGGCAGCTGGTGCAGTCCTTCTCGGAGCTCGGTGGCACGGTGCAGGTGCTCTCCAAGGCGACCGAGCTCAAGCAGATGGCAGACAAACGTTGGGTCGTCAGGGTGCAAAAGGACGACCTCTCGCGCGACATCAACTACCTCACGACCAAGTTCGTGTTTGCGGGCGCCGGTGGCGGCGCACTCAAGGTCCTCCAGATGTCCGGGATCCCCGAGGTGCAGGGCTATGCGGGGATGCCCGTCTCGGGCAAGTTCCTTGTATGCCAGACCCCGTCGGGCGTGGCGAAGCAGGGGACCAACAAGGTGTACGGCCGCGCAGAGCTTGGCGCGCCGCCGATGAGCGTGCCTCACCTCGACTGGCGCACCATCTACGGGCGCGACTGCGTCTTCTTCGGCCCATTTGCCGGCTTCAGCCCGGTGGTGATGCACCAAGCGGGCTTTCTGTCCAGTGCGATGGAGTGGCTCTCGACCTTCAACCTGCGGAACATCTACCCGACGATCTCCATGGCTCTCGCGAACCTCGACCTGGTGCAGTACCTCTTTGGCGAGGTGATGGCGTCCAAGGAGCACCAGCTGGCGCAGCTGCGCAAGTTCGTGCCCGACGCGCGGCCCGAGGACTGGACGATGGTGACGGCCGGCCAGCGCGTCCAGGTCATCCAGCCCGACAAGGATGTGGGCGGCAAGCTCGTCTTTGGCACGAAGGTGATGGCATCCGCGGACAACACCATCGTCGGACTGATGGGAGCCTCCCCGGGCGCGCTGGCTCTGCTGTGTGCGGGCAGACTGCTGCATCCTTCCTTCGCAGGACCCGGCCGGCTGCTACTGTAGGCGCGAGCATCAGCCCGCACGTCGCGATCGAGGTGATCGAGCACTTTGAGAGCGCCAAGAACAACACGATGGCGTACCATGCCGCGCTTGCACAGGTTGCGCTTCCGCCCGCTCTGCTCAATGAAGGCGTGTCCACCTGAGAGACCCGCCATTGCCGCACAGATGATCCCGTCCTACGGGCGCGACATCAACGCAGAGCCTGGCTTGTACGAGTCGATTATCAACCGCGCCCGCGCGACGCTGCTGAAGGAGGAGCTGTTGTCGTCGAAGGTCAACATTGGGAAGGTCTTCGACCGGCTGGACGAGAACAGCGACGGCACGCTGTCGATGGCGGAGCTCAAGGTCTTCCTCGAGGCCCAGGGCATCGACAAGAAGACGACCGAGAATCTCTTCAAGGTGCTCGACGCAGACGGCACAGGCGAGATTACGCGCAAAGAGTTCACCGCAGGCTTCTCGGCCTTCTGCACGGGCCAGCTGACAAAATACCATTATGTGCGTGAGATGGAGCGCAGCGACGGGGAAGGCGTCCGCGCCAAAACGACTCGCTCGGCCGAAGTCTGAGCGCCGAGGCTCGTCCGCCGGAGAGAGTCAGAGCCGGCGACGAGGAAGTAGGCAACGGCCAACGCCGACTCGCAGCATCATGTACTTTAGAGTTCAGGGTGCGGCAGTGCTATCCCGTGCCAGGTGCCGTTGCTGGCTCCGAAAGTTAGAGCGCGAGGTAGTATACAAAAAACAGCGCGCGGGCCGGCGGCGGCGGCGTGCATGCGACCATGCGTGCTGCGCCTGCTTCGTGCTTGCGCACGCCCCCACGCGCCGCCGCCGGGCCCGCTCGCTCTCTCCTCTGTTGTGACTGTGCGTGCGCACGGTGCAACAAGCAATACTGTCAAACGAAAAAATATGCATGCTTGGGGGGCGTACATCCCCCTCGACGACTTCTAGACACAGCCGCCAAGGCTGGCCACCCCAGCGCCAAAGCCATGTGTGTCGATCGAAAGGGTTTATCGAACGAGACGCCCCTCACTACTGCGGAGCCGCAACGTCACCGGCGGCGGCGTTCGCGGGGGTGGAGTCTCGCGCCGCATCCTGCTCCCATGCCGCAGAAGCTGCCGCCGCCTTCTCCTCCGCTGCCTTGGCTGCCTCCGCTCTGGCCTGGGCCTTTTCCTCTGCGGCCCTGGCCTCCGCCGCCTATGGCAGGGCGAGGGCATGGTTAGGAATAAGGTTGGGGCCAAGGCCAGGGGTATGGGTCAGGCAGCCCTGGTTTCCGCCTCCTCCGCTGCTTGCTGGGCCGCGGCCGCTTCCTCCGCCGCCCTCGCTTCCGCCGCCGTCGACTCCGCCCGTTTCGTGTCTACTGTCGCCATCTTCTTCGCCGCCGCCGCCTGCGCCGCCTCCTTCTGCGCCGCGGCCGCCGCCTCCGCCGCCAGCTGCTGCGCTGCCTCCGCGGACGACGCTTCCGACTCCGCCTTCGCCGCCTCGGCAGCTGCCCTCGCCTCCTAACGGAAGTGAGAGGGGAATGATGGCGCATCTGAACTTCAGCCGAACCGCGACCTATGGACATCCTGAGGGCTACCTCCGCCGCCGCCTCTGCTGCCGCCCTTGCCTCCTCCTCCGCCAGCTTGGCCTCCGCCATCTTCTTCGCCTGCGCCTCGGCCAACTTGGCTTCGGCGAGCTTGGCCTCCTCGGCCTCCTTCTCCGCCGCGGCCTCCGCCGCCGCCGCGATGGAATTCCGGTTGAAGATGGCGTCGTACTCTGCTTGCTGCGCGGCAATCTTTGCCCGAGCCTCCGCGATCGCCGCGTCTGGCTCGGCCGCCGACGCTGTCGTTTCTGCCGCCTTGGCGGCGTCCGCACGCTGCGCCGCCGCCACGGCCTCCGCCTCCCGCACTCCGCCTCCGCCTCCTGCGGCCTCTGCCTCTTGAGCGTGCGCCGCCTCAGCAGCCGCCGCCTTTTGAGCCGCCGCCGCCTCCGCCTTCTGCGCGGCCGCCGCCGCCTCCGCCTTCTGCGCCGCCGCCACCGCCTCCGCCTTCTGCGCCGCCGCCACCGCCTCCGCCTTTTGCGCCGCCGCCGCCGCCTCCGCCTTCTGCGCCGCCGCCGCCGCCTCCACCTTCTGCGCCGCCGCCGCCGCCTCCGCCTTCTGCGCCGCCGCCGCCGCCTCCGCCTCGCGCGTTGCCGCCGCGGCCTCCGCGCGCTCCCGCGCCTGGGCGGCGTCACGAGCGCGGCGTTGCGCCTCGGTCTCTCGCCCGGCAGCCTCATCCTTCGGCTCGACCGGCACCAGCATCTCAAACTGCATCCCCGCGGCGACGCCCTTTGGCACCGTCACCTGCATCAGCCCTGCGGGCGTCTGCACGGGCAGGGCCTGCCCCGCCCGAACGCCGGCCGGCACGGTCACGAGCATCCGCTGCAGATTGTCGGTCGACGCCCCTGTCGCTGCCGCCGTCGCCTTGGGCCCCGTCGCTCCCACAACGTCAGTCTGCCTCGGCGTCCTGGCCACGTTGCCTGTCGCCATCGCCGCCATCGCCGCCGCTGCCGCCTTCGCCCTCGCCGCCGCATTCGCCGCCACCGGCGCCGCTGCCTCCGCCACCGCCTTGGCCTCACCGGCCGCCTTTGCCGCCGTCCCCGCCACTGCCTCCACCACCGCCTTTGGCTCCACTCGGTCCGCCACGGACCCGCTGCGCACGGAGAGCTGCGCCGGGATGTCCGAGAGTGGCGTCGAGAGCCTACCACCAAGGCAAGCGCGTCTAAGGAGGAGAGGGTGAGACGGCGCAGAGGAGCGGCTGGAGAGGCGCACCCCGAAGGTAGGAGGGCTGCAGTGAGGGCGCCCGCCACGATCAGGCTCACGCCGGCTGCAGCGGGGACCCCGCGCAACGGGAGCCCTTGCATCGCCGGGAAGATCGGCGCCGGCGCGGGGGCCATCGTGGGGGCTGGGGCCGAGAAGGGCATCGCGGGGATTTGGTCGAGGGCCTCCCCGTAAAACTCCTCCGGCACCTGCGTGCCGGAGCCCTGGCAGTTGATGCAGACGACGCTGCCCGTGCTCTGGCACGTCGCGCACTCCTCGACGCGCAGGCCCGCCGCCTCGTCCCGGAACTCGAGCAGCTTGTGGCCGAAGCAGCGCCCGCACGGGATACGGCCAGTGCCCCCGCAGTACGTGCATGGCACCACTGGCGCCGACGCGACCGTCGCTGCCGGGGGAGGAGAGGCCTGCGGCACCGCCATGGCCTCCGCCCGCCCCGCCGCTTGCGCCAGTCGGCCAGCAGTGGTGGAAGCGACCTTTGCCTCCGAGGGGGGCGGCGGCTCCTGCTTCTCGAACCAAGACCGCCTCGCCTCCTCTTCGCGAGACAGCGTGTCGCAGGCCGCGGCGTCGCCAGCATCGCACTGCTCCAGCAGCGCAGCCAGCTCCGCCGCCTGCTCTGCCACCTGAGTCATCGCGGCCGCCGCCTCGGCCCACCTCTTTGCGTCGAGCATGCCGAAGGCGTCCTTCTCCTCCGTCACTGCGGCGACCGCCGCCGCGGCAGCGCCCCACGCGGGCGCGTCGAGACCCTCGAGCCATTCCCGCTTCGCACCCTCCTCGAGCGACAGGATCCTGCACGCCTCGGCATCGTCGGCTTTGCACGCCTCGGTGAGCGCGGCATACTCGGTCGCCTCTCTTGCAACCTTGGCCATGGCAATGGCGGTCTCGCCCCACGCCGGAGCGTTCACCTGCGAGAGCCACCGCGCCTTGGTAACCTCCTCGGACTTGCGCACAGCGTCTGCACGCTTGGTCTCCTCCTCCGCTTCCGGAGCGCCGACGCGCGAAAGCCAGGCCTCCTTTGCAGCCGCCTCGGCATCCGGGGTCACCATGGCGGCGCGGCTGCGAGGGCTGGGCGCCCGCGAGAGCAGGCGTGGCGCATTGAGGAAGGCAGAGACGCCGAGGCCCATCAGGCTGATCATCATGCGAGAGATCGGACCGAAAAGAATTTTACAACCCCTCTCCCTCGCACGACACTGGGCACAGGACTGGGCACGGGACTGGCTCGCACTGGCACTAACACAGGTACACCACTTCTTAAGAGCGTTACGCAAATGCATGCGCGACTTGCACTCTTTCGTGCCACTCTCTCGCCGGTGCGCGGGGCATGGCCTCCCGCGCGGCTCGCGCTCACTCGGCCTGCCTCCGCCTCGCGGCTGGCTGAGCACGCCATGGGTCCGCCGGGTGCGGCGCTGCTCGCTCGCTGCGCTGCAGAAAGCTGCGAGAAGCAGGGTGGCCTCCTGAGCTTGAGCATTGCGCAGCGCGGCTGCTGGTGCTCGAGGGCGGCCGTGCGGTGGCGTGAGGGCCTGATTGGTGGTGACCTCGTGCTGCATCAACGTGCGCAGCATGCTCCCTCACCCGGTGCTGAGACACGCTGGTGGGCGACTGGCGCCAGCTTCTCAGTGCTGTCCTTGGCGTTGTGCAGCATGTCGCAATACTCCTGTTGCGCTGACCGGCGCGCGGGGTGCGTCGTGCCGCGAGTGGAGCGAGAGGCTCGAGGCGCGCGGCTGTCGGTCAACCCTGCGGCGCATGCGCGCCGCCAAGGCTGCTCGACAGGCGACTGGCATTGTGGCGACGCGGTCGCCGTTACTCCAACTTTGCTTTGCCGATCAAGAGCGCCCGTCCTTTGCTTTTTAGCCGCTGAAATTTAGCTTGCTGTTTTTCTTATAGGCGTCTGCGACTTCCAAGCTGCGTATTCTTGTATTATCGTCGAGTAGTACAAGTACTCTCTGCGTGGGGGCGGTACGTATTCTCGTAACATGTGCGTATTCTCGTATCACTGGCTCCGAGTACAGTTCCGGACGGGCATTAAGAACGCACAGGTTCTTCGCCCAGCCTCAGGTTCTTAGCTAAGTCGGCGGTCCGTCGGGGGCCGAGCCTCAGGTTCTTAACCGGGTGGATGGTTTTTTAAACCGTTTCGGCTTCGATTAAAAATCAATAAATGGGTCTTAAAACAGTTTGGAAGTTTGGAACAGTAAGTTCGCGCATGGCGTGACAAGAGAGTCATTCGCTGCCGTGAGCTGCCCCTGCGGCTGCGGCCGCGGGGGCAGGGGCGCCGGCTGCAGGCGTTGGCCCAGCCTCAGGTTCTTAGGGAGTTCTTAGGGATCCGGCCGAAATATGAGCCTCAGGTTCTTAACGTTAGAGGTTCTTAATGCCCGTCCGGAACTGTAGAAAAAGAAAGAAAACAGTGTTAGCTCCGAGTAGAGGGGGCGTTCTGCTGCTAGGGGAAACCTGGAGCGCGGAGCTAACCCTCGGAGACCCGTGTTTACTTTAAGGCCCTTGCCCTGCGAACGCGCACCCCCGGGGCTAGGGCTCTCTAGCCCGTAACCCGATACCGATCATCCGGCCCGCTGGATGCGCTTCTCAGCTCACCGGCCCTGGATGTGAGGTTGCCGACTGCACTCCAAGTGCTCCAAGTGCATACAAGCCTCTCTCACAGCACACCGAAAAGAATTTAAACATCGCACAGCACGAAAGGGCGAAACACGCTGTCCAGCACGAGTACGGCGCTCGCCAACTGCATCTCGACCGCGTGCGCGTCTCGTCGTCCGGCGGAAGCTCCGCGTCGCCCGCGGCCGCTTCCCGAGCGCGCTCGTCGCGCATCCGCTCGTGGTGGGCCTGCCGACGCGCCACGCCGGCGCCCGTGTGCCTCGCCGCCGCGTCCGGCGACGGCATCGATGCTGTCCGCACGAGCGTGACTCGCCACTCCACGACCTCCACGACCTCCACGCTGAGCCCTGGTGTCTGACAGCCTGACAGCAAACCCGGACAGCGCCTGACAGTGCCCGACAGCCTGACAGCGTTGACAGCACTATTTCTCTGACAGTCTGACAGCACGTTTCTGACAGTCTGACAGCAGAGTCTGACATCAGAGGGGCTCCGTCGCTGTCAGGCCCTAACGTGACAGCCTGACAGCTGCCCCCGACAGCCCGACAGCACACAGTGGCCTGACAGCAGCGCTGACAGCCCGACAGCCCAACCAGCCCGACAGCAGCACAGACCGTACACAGCCGTGCAGCCTCTTTCTTGCGCCCCATGAGGGTATAACAAAACTATTACATGCAAAGACATGTGAGTGTGGTCCATGCAGTGTCATGGGATGGTCATGCCTCATGGGTCTCTCTCTCAACCCTCCCGCCCCACCTCTGCGGACCCGCGGCTGTGCTACAACTACAAATGAAGCTAAGGAGAGGCAGCCCGCAGCGCCAAAGAGGAGGCGGGTGTCGCTGTCCGCCGTGCCCGACTCGACCACGAGATCGAGGATGCAGCGGCGCAGCCGGCCGAGCGCCGCCGCCGAAGGCGCGGGAAGGCGGCGGAGGAGCGCCTCGAACGCGTCTGCCGCGCCCGGCCGCTGCTGGAGGGCAGAGAGGGCAGCGTCCTCAAAGCCGGGAGGGAGGTGGGGGCGGGAGGACTGGCGCCAGGGGGGCGAGGCTGAAGAGCGACTCCTTGGCGGCGGAGAGCACTCCGCTCGTGAAGCCGCCGCCCCACTCCTCGCAGCCGCTTGGCAGGGAAGCTCTCGTCCCGTCCCGCCGTCTGGTGAATGAGCTCGAGCAGCTTGGTGGAGGCTGAGGCGCGGCGGTACAGCGGGCGCCGTCCAGAGCCGCCAGCCGGCCGCGCTGCTGTCCGCCGCCGCTTGCACAGGAAGAGAATGAAGACAAAAAGCAGGGAGGCAGCGGCAGCGGCCACAAACCCGCTGTGCCTCTCGCACAGTGGCGCACGCGGCGGGCGGCGGTCTGTACAGCCAGCGTGGCAGTTGCTGCGGAACGACACTGTTTCGCAAAATAACAGGGACCGCGAGCCGACTCCATCCCTCCCTCAATCAATCAATCCTCCCTCGGGGTTTCTTTCTTTCAGGCACAGTCGCTCGCTCGCGGCGGCGGAAATTTTCTTTTCTTGGCGATGTCCTCCCCGCCGCGCCGCCGCCGAGATTCAAGGCCAAGGATTGTGCTGCTAGATCTCACTGACTGAGCTGAGTGAGCTCATAACTGCCCAGTTCGGGAATGCCTCAGTATCCTGTTCAGCCAGCGGGGCTGCTACGTTTAACTAAAAAAGAAAAAACACCCCGGCACGTCCCCTTCGACCAGAGGTACCCCTCCGGAACAACACCGAGAGCTCGGCACAACGCAGGCATCGAGGTTCGAGGTTCCCCTCAACCGAGAGCTCGGCACAACACCGAGGTTCCCCTCAACCCAAGCCGAGGCAACAACGCAGGCATCGCTCTCCCGTTCCTCTCGCGCTTTTGCCGCCCCATCGCGCCTCCGCAGCCGCAGCAAGCTACACGCCTGGACGCCCGCGACGCCTATTGCTCGCGAAGCCAGCCGTGCCCGCACCACTCCCCCGCTGAGCGATGCGCCCGCACGAGCGGCTCTGCGCCCCCCTCAGCCTGGCACCGCCTGCACCGCCCGCAGGTACGGAGCCGCGACACGCGTCTGCTGCTGCCCATTCGCCACCCTTGTCCCGCGCGAGCCAGCGCCGGGCCGCCCTTCCTGTCTTCCGGCCACAGCCCGCTCGCTCGCCAGTCGCCGCCCGGCTCCAGTCCGAGCGCCGTGGACGCGACAGACAGCGCGTGCCGGCGGCCTCGTCTCGACGCTCACGCCGCGGCGTGTTGCCCGTAGGCGCGGCTCTGCTCTCTCCGGCTCAACTCCCGCTTCATGTCGGCCGAAGAAGCGGCCCCCAACGGCGCCACCACAAACGCGCCGGCTCTCGAGCCGGTCATCGACTCAGTGCGGTCTTCGATGACCGACACGGTGTCGGAGAAGCTCAGTGCGGTCGAGGACACGATCCAGCGCAAGCTGGACATCGACTCAGTGCGGTCTGACATGACCGACACGGTGTCGGAGAAGCTCAGTGCGGTCGAGGACACGATCCAGCGCAAGCTGGACATCGACTCAGTGCGGTCTGACATGACCGACACGGTGTCGGAGAAGCTCAGTGCGGTCGAGGACACGATCCAGCGCAAGCTGGACATCGACTCAGTGCGGTCTGACATGACCGACACGGTGTCGGAGAAGCTCAGTGCGGTCGAGGACACGATCCAGCGCAAGCTGGACATCGACTCAGTGCGGTCTGACATGACCGACACGGTGTCGGAGAAGCTCAGTGCGGTCGAGGACACGATCCAGCGCAAGCTGGACATCGACTCAGTGCGGTCTGACATGACCGACATGGTGTCGGAGAAGCTCAGTGCGGTCGAGGACAAGATCCTGCGCAAGCTGTGCGGCGTCGGCGAGAAACGCGCGAACAAAGTCAAGGTGGCCTTCATCCTCCTCACAGGCCTGGTCGCGCTGGTCGAGGCCGGCCTGATCACAGCCACCACAGAGCCGAGTGTCTACATCGACATGGAGCTCCTTGACGAGGGGTTCAAGTGGAGCAATCTCCTTCCGTCGTCCTGCATTTCCGACAAGCTCCCACCACCGCCAGCGGGGGAAACAGCGTCGCCGAAGCCACCCGGGCTCCCACCACCGCAAGACTCCGCAAGCGACCAGGCCATCGCGGCTTTGACCAGCAAGGCTTTGACCAGCAACCAGTCGCTGATCGACCTCTGGTATTCGGACACCATCGAGAGCCAGTGCAAATACGACCCTCTTTTCAGCGGCGAGGCCACCGTTGACAACTGCGGCCCACAGCCAGAGTGCATCCGAGGCCTCAGTGTCTTCTTCACGATGACGCTCTTCCTCTCCGCCGTGTGCTACACCGGGGCGCGCATCGCGCTGCACTACCTCACGATGCGCGACAGCCAGCTGTGCGACTGCTGCCCCGGTTGCATCCGCACCGGCCTGCGCATCTGCCTCAAGATGGGCGCGCCCGTCGCGCTCAACTCTCTGATGATCGTCAACACGAAGATGGCGTGGCAAGAGGGCGGAAAGAACGGGGTACCCTCGCACGTGTACGGCTACAGGCTGGGCTTCAGCACACTCGAGCTCTTCTTCGTCGTCGTCAACGTGCTCTTCATGATGGTCTTCGTCCTCGTCGGCTCCATGCTCGTCGTCGCGCCCACCTGCTGCGCAGGCATGATCAAGATCTGCTGCAAGGCTTGCGGAGGCGGGGCCAACGCTATGCGTAACGCGGTCAAAAGGGTGAAGCAATGGGCCCGCGGCTACCTCGTCTTGATGCTCTACATACTGTGCGTGCTTGCCTCCCCAACACCCCCTCTCCCTCCAAACCACTCCCCCCTAGCCGCAGACCTGTGGGTTGCCCCCAAGCTCAACGCCAGCCCTGGCCCTAATCCCAGACCCTAATCCCTCATCCCTCACCCCCCGCCCCTCTCCCTCCCCCTCATCCCTCACTCCTCACCCTCACCCTCACCCTCACGCTCACCCAGGTCCTTCTGGGGCATCGTCACGACGATCGTTGCCGCCGCGCTCGAGTACGAGGACTGGGCTTCGACGCTCAAGTACGAGGACTGGGTTTCGCCGTCGATCGCCATCCAGTCCTTCCCTCTCATCGACATTGCCATGACTCTGATCATGTTCCCGCCCAACCTTGCCGTCCAGCTCGACTCCGAGCTCCCGCGCGTCTGGGCCGTCGGGGCGCTCCGAATTTGCAAGGTGATCTCTGTGTGCATAGCACTGTTCTTGGAGTACTTCCACTTGTTCTTGAAGTGGAAGTACTCAGGGCCGCCGTGCAAGTGCTGCACCAAGTGCTTCCCGTGTTGTGGCCAGGGCGACACGCCCCAGCAGGGCAAAGGGCTGAATGAGATCAAGGTCGAGGTCGAGGGCGCCATCACAGACGCCGCGGCTGAGGCGGAGCAGACTGCGACTGAGATCAAGGTCGAGGTCGAGGGCGCCATCACAGACGCCGCGGCTGAGGCGAAGCAGACTGCGACTGAGATCAAGGTCGAGGTCGAGGGCGCCATCTCAGACGCCGCGGCTGAGGCGAAGCAGACTGCGACTGAGATCAAGGTCGAGGTCGAGGGCGCCATCACAGACGCCGCGGCTGAGGCGAAGCAGACTGCGACTGAGATCAAGGTCGAGGTCGAGGGCGCCATCACAGACGCCGCGGCTGAGGCGAAGCAGACTGCGACTGAGCTGGCTGAGATCAATGTTCAGGACCGGGTCGTGGAGGAGACGGAGAAACTCATACCGCAGCTGGAAGAGAACGCCTCGGCAGACCTCCAGGCACTCAAGGATGCGGCTCCCACCAGTTCCAGAGACTGGTTGCAGAGGGCCAAGGATTGGGCGTGGGACATGTCCGACAGGGCGTCCGCCAGGGCGGACAGCGAGGAGCAGAAGGCATCGGAACGCCTCAGCGGTACTTCTGCACCGTCGAAACGCCTCAGCATCTAGTCCGACGAGAATCGGCACAAGCAAGAGTGTGCTATCTGCATGGACTTCACCGACACCGACCATTCAGCGACCATTCCTAATTCTCGCCGTCGGTGCCAGCCGGGGGCGCTGACTTGCCTCCATCTCCCATTCTGCACCGTTGGGGTTGTAAACGGGCCGCCACCGCCAGAGGTGGTTGCATGGAATTCGCCGACACCGATACTGTACCTCCTGACTCTGCCGTCGGTGCCAGCTGGTGTGGCGAGTGCCGCCGCCTTGCGTTATTGCGTTCGCACATAGCATACACACATAGCGGCTCTGTCCGAGACGCATTTGTGTGTGTTTGTGTGTGGGGCAAGCACTTAGCCATAGCATGAGGGCCTTCCCCAGCTGCTGTATGTGTTTTTGGTTCTGACTTGTATACTTGTAGCTGGATAGAGGATAGAGGTTAGAGCCGCAGTCGTCAGCCAGAACTGAAGATGGGTGTAGAGCCGTACGCTCGCGATGTGTTGAACGTCCTCAACAAGTATGGATTTGAACCGCGCGCAGCGTGTCGCGATGGTGCTGCGGAAGAGCGGAAGTACCACGACTTCATTCCCGCAGAACACGAAGAAGTACGCCTGTTCTTCGTTCGGGACTTCGGGGCCGCAACAATATGCTCCCGACGAAATAGAAGAACACTGCACAAAGATCCATCTCACAGTAGAGGTGTCCGTTTTTATCTATTTATTTACTAGCGGGTTGGCTCGCTAGTCGCTCGCCGGCCCGCGCGGCACGCGCGGGCCTTTTTTGTGGTCGGAGCGTTTTTTTCTAGCTTACGGGCTCGCTAAACGCTCGCCTCGCCATGTGACGGAGCTATACTCCGAGGCCTGTCACAGACAGAGGTTGGTTGTAAAATGAACAAAACACGCTATTGCACACTCACAACATATGTCTCGCATCTCCTCACCCCCTACGCACATATGTCATATCGACACACGACACGCTAGAGACGATGGATGTGTCTCTCGCTCCTTCCACACATCGCAAACACAGGAGACAGCTCCTACCTACCATCTATCTCTCTATCTACCATCGCTCTCTCCTATCTCTATCTACTACTGATCGCAAACGCACGCAGGCAGCGAGAGCGACCTCGTCACCAACTCAGAAGTCGTCATCGAGGTCGTCCGCGTTCCACAGGGCCGCATCGCCCGCCGACTTGCTCACCTTCCAGCCGCGGTCGATGAGGGCCACGGCGGTCTCCTTCTCGGCCTGGGCACGTGGACCTGGCCCTCGGCGCAGCACGCACGGCCGCGCTTGCACCCGCCCGTCTTCGGCACGGGCTTCGCCTCGCCCGGCCAGAGCAGCGCGCCGCAGTAGTAGCACGCCAAGGCGCCGTCACCGCTGCCGCCGGTAGCGCTGCCGCTGCTGCCGCCGCTGGGGCTTGGTACGCTGGTGCGGCCGAGGTCGCCGACGTCGAGGAGCTCGAGGCGGGAGTGGTCGAAGCCGGGCCGCCACATGGCCTCGTTGCACCGCGCCGCGTTGATTCGCGACCACCGTCGGCCGCGGACGGCGGCGGCGTGGCGGCCGCGGGCGCTCGCGAGACGCGCCGCTCTGCTCTGGAACGGTTCGTTCGACTCGTTGTGCCGCCACACGCCCGGCGGCCGCGGGTCCCAGAAGTGGTTGCGCGGGCCTCTTCCTTGCGGCCGCGGGACGGCGTCGGGCACGTCGTCGGTCGCAACAGATGCGCGGCGAGCCGCCGCTCTGCTCTGGAACGGTTCGTTCGACTCGTTGTGCCGCCACACGCCCGGCGGCCGCGGATCCCAGAAATGGTTGCGCGGGCCTCTTCCTTGCGGCCGCGGGACGGCGTCGGGCACGTCGTCGGTCGCAACAGATGCGCGGCGAGCCGCGGCACGTCGTTCCTGGCGCTGGTGGTTTGAGAGAGAGATCGGCATCGTCCAGAGTTCGGTCGACGAGTCGAGAGCTTCAGCTGGCCGAGGGTGCCACCTTTGTGGCTAGTTCCATTTCACTCTGACACGCTAATCTTGAAAACGTCCAACGGAGCTCCGTGTTGCTCCCAGCGCCCTCCCCCGCGCTTTCTGCGGCCATGGCCGATGATACTAGTATGAGAGGTCATCTGGCTACCGCGAGCGCGACTCAACTCGCCGACGTCGTCCGATGATTGTGCCTCAAAGTCAGCCTCCGGAGGCTATCGTGGGGTCGAGCCGGCAGTAGCCGTGACATGTGGTTCCACCACCCCTCGTATGCTTTGCCTCTGACCGCCACCGTTCCCAGGCTGCCAAATGGGATGGAAAGGAAGGCTCGGCGAGCGTATAGAAGCGTGCTCGACCTCGTCGTGGCAACCTGCACGGCAGCGCTGGTAGGCGCGATGAGCGTCGTGCCACCTGACCCGAGACGGGTCGCAGGCGTCGTACCGAGCGCGTCGAGACCGTGTCCTGATGTGATCTGCACGGGTGAGTCACGTCGGCGTCAAAGGAGCGACGTGCGACCTGTCAGAGCTTGATCTCCGATCTCAGCGGCGTCGAGTCGTCTCCGGCGCGCGACAAAGGTACATCCACAGGACGCGCAGAGGCAGCTGCGACCCCGCTGAGTGGACGGCGTCACACCGCGCCACCTGCTGTGTGACGCCGTCTACTCGGCGGGGTCGCAGCTGCCTCTGGAAGGCACCGAGATGTACCTTTTTCGCGCAATGGTCAAAATCAAGGTTTTGTAACGCGAGCTGTGCCACAGTGAAATGGAACTAGCCTGTGCTCTTTGTGCACGAAATGGGAAATATATCTCTTTGATGATTGGCTTCATCAGTGGGTGCGCTGCATGCTCCGCGCGCTCACTCGGCCGCCACCCCCTTCTCCTCCGCCTTCCCCGCGGAACAGGGCGGCGCCGCCGTCATGCAAGGCGCGGGTGGCGCGGCCGGCACAAACTCCTTGGCGGAGGGGTTGGGCCGGAAGTCCTTGGCGAGGTCCCGCTCCTTTGCGGCGCTGGACCCGTTCCCCGCCGCGCCGTCCGCGCCGCCCGCCTTAGCCTTTGGCTGGCGCGGCGGCTTCTTCCACTCGGCGAGCGCCTAGGTTAGGTACGGTAAGCTTCTCCACACACACGAGGTGGTGGGGCAAGGGGGGGCGACCCTCGCGTCTCCACGTCTGACGTCAGGAGCCCCACGGCATTCAAAGTGCAAGGGCCCGGTGCGCGTGGGTGAGCGGTGTGTGTGTGTGCGAGCGCCTTGTCGAGGCGGCGCAGGAAGAGGTCGACGTCGCCGTCCGCGATGCCGATGGCGCAAGCGACGGAGAAGTACGCGCACGGGTAGCCCGAGTAGTGCGCGCCTGGGGGGGGGGGGTGAGACATGGACATGTCCTGGACGCGTCCACGGACCCGAGATCGGCCGAGATTATGCCCCGAGATGTGCCCGAGATTGGCCGAAGTGTGCCCGAGATTGTCAGAGACTGGAGTAGTGCGCGCCGTAAGACTCAAAGGGGATGCCACCGACCGTCTTGCCTATAGGGCGGTTCCGAGAAGGTTCCGAGAAGGTTCCGAGGAGGTTCCGAGATGCCGCCGACCGTCTTGCCGGCGGCAGAGGGCGTGACGACGCGCAGCCCCGACACGAGCCGCACGAAGAGCGAGGCGCCGAGCGAGCCGGCGGGCTTGGACCCCTCCGGCGGCGTGAGCGTCACCGACATCGAGATGCCGTTGTTTGGCGTGTGCAGCACTCTCTCGCCGTGCTTGGCCGCCACCGCCTCGAGCCTGCGCCGGAAGGCCGGGAAGGCGGCGCGCCTGAGGGAGGGTGTGACGGGAGGGTGTGATGTGGGAGGGTGCGATGGGAGGGTGCGATGGGAGGGTGTGACGGGAGGGTGCGATGGGAGGGTGCGATGGGAGGGTGCAATGGGAGGGTGCGATGGGAGGGTGCGATGGCAGGGTGCGATGGGAGGGTGCGATGGGAGGGTGTGATGCCCGCCGCCGCTCGAGGAGGCGCAGCCATCCGTCGGCGCCGAGGTGGAGCAGCGTGCAAAAGAGGTCGAGGACGGGCGAGATCGAGGCGCGGCCTAGAAAGAATTCTCGAGAAAGAAAGCAAAACGCCTGCGCATAGCGTAGAGAAACTCCTGCAAAGGTGGGGACGTGTCTGTCCTCGACCCAGCCCTAGCTTGGGATGTCCGTTGTATTTATTTATTTATTTAGAAACTCCTTAAAATCCCTGTGTGGTGGCGGCGTGCCGTCCTCCCATCCCTCCCTTGGGTTGTCTGTTTTCTTTCTTTCTTTCTTTCTTTAGAAACGAGAGAGGGCGAGGACGAGGTCGAGGCGCGGCCTATAAACCAGGAGAAAAACAAACCAGGTGGACGCCCGGAAAGAAAAGGTCGAGGAGGGGCGAGATCGAGGCGCGGCCGGTCGACCGCACCTTCGCTAGCAGCTCCGCAGCTTAGAACCGGGATTGCACGAGATTGCACGAGATTGCACGAGATTGCGCCTTCGCGAGCAGCTCCGGCCCGTGCCGGCCGTCGGCGGTGGCGACGATCGCGCCGCCGACGGGGACAAGGAAGTTCTTGTCGGTCGACTGGACGAAGCAGTCGAGGCGGCCGTGGCGGGAGGCGCTGGCGATGGCCTGGAGAAAAGAGAAAAAACAGGTCGCACGGGAAAGAAGCACCTGGCGGCTCGTCGAGGCGCGGGCGGCGGCCTTCATGCAGCGGTCGCACTGCACGCCGTACGCATTGTTGCAGAGGTGGGGCACGCCTAGTCCCATACCTCCAGAGTATCGAACCCAGCGTGGGTTCAGTCCCGTGGGTGGTGCGGTATCGCGGCTGTTGCAGAGGTGGGGCGCCCCTAGTCCCATACCTCCCGAGTATCGAACCCAGTGTGGGTTCAGTCCCGTGGGCGGTGCGGTATCGCGCCTTGCTCGGCGCAGAGGCGCGCGACGTCGAGAAGCTTGTCGACACCGCGCGGGGCAAAGCACGATCTACATGGGGAGATGTGGGGAGATATGAAAAGATATGGAAAGATATGGGGAGATGTGCGGAGATATGGGGAGATATCGATGAGGCGTCGCTCAACATGGGGAGATATGGGGAGATATGACGTTGTCGTGAGCACGCAGAGCACGTCGTCTGCGCCGATCTCCGACAGCTTCGCGGCGAGCGCGTCGAGGTCTGTCCTACGTGTGGAATACGCCAGCTTCAGGGCACGAATACGGTATTGTGCAGCGTATTCAGAGCACCGCGTGAATACAGCGGAGAAGAATACAGTGAGTACAGCGGAATACGGGTGAATACAGCTGAATACGTGTCTTCTCGGGCGCTAGTTGGAGTACAAGAATACGTATTCCGCTTCTAGGGCTTGTCGCCGTCGAGCAGGTTCTCGATCGGCACCGGCGTCACAGCACCAACCGACAGCACCTGACAGCACCGGCGTCTCGGTGACAGCAGCAGCAGCCCGACAGCTCTGACAGCTCCGACAGCGTCTGACAGCAACACCCGACAGCTCCGACAGCACCCGACAGCTACGGAGCCCCTCTGATGTCAGACAAGCACCCGACAGCACCCGACAGCACTGACAGCACCTGACAGCTGGTCTGACATAGGCACCTGACAGTGCCTGTGACAGTGCCTGACAGCCTGACAGATCACCTGACAGCACCTGACAGCCTGACAGTCAGGGCTCAGCCTCCACGCGACCGCCGAAAAGTTCTCCCACTCGCTCTGCCCCAAACCTAAATCTTTCTACAGTTACATACATACGCACAGGAAGGGTGGGATGCTTCCTGAAACCTGAAACGCGAAACGCGATCTTCTCGCGTTCCTCCGTAGTGCAGCCACGATCGTTTCGCGTGTCAGGTTACTTCCCACCCTTCCTTGGCGACGGCGAGGTGGCGTGGTGTTGGTGCTTCGGCACGGTGTGAGACTGGCTCGGAAGCCGCGTGGGTGTCTCGGGCGGCGGCGGCGACGGCGGACCGCTCTCCGCGTCGAAGGCGCCAGAAGTGTACGCGGTGAGGAGGAGGGCGAGGACGAGGGCCAGGGCGAGGGCGAGGCGCGCGTGCGCTGCGTGCGAGACGAGGACGCGGCTGCTGATGGCAAAGGCGGCGGCTCCTGATATCACGGGGCGTGTGGAATGGTGTGGAGAGTGTTGAGGGGCGGCGAGGGCTGTGCGACGGCTGTGTCGGTGGTGCAACGGCGGCGCCTCCGATGGCGACGGTGGCGCCACACCCAAAGCCGAACGAGACGGGCTCGAGCATCCAGAGCGCACCTATGCCTCGGGCCAGGGGTAAGACCACCGCCCACACTCGAAGCGATCAAACGTGCGGAGAGCGCCGAGTCCAATCACGATGATGCGCTTGATGGCGTTGAGCACCTGTTCACCGCTGGTGCTGTGAAACGAAGTGCTGCAGTCGCGACGATGCGCTCGGTGGCGTGTGTTCACAGCGTGCAGCACGGGCTCGACGCGCGCGAGAGTGCCGATCGAGGCGAGTTGGTACGCCACAAACGATAGGGGCGGCACGAGGATCCTGGCGAGAGGGAAGGGAAGGGGGGTAGCAGCAAAGGCCGAGCAGTCAGGGCAGTTGCGACGGCAACCGCGGGCGGCAGCGGGCGGGCGGGCGGGCGGACGGGCGCGCACCAGAGCGGGTTGGCGTCGGCGTAGTGCGCGTACCTGTGGCGGTGTGGCGGTGTGTGGGCGGCAGCGATGAGGGCGGCAGCGGCGAGGGCTGGCAGCGGGCGAGGGCAGTGGCGAAGGCGGCAGTGACGAGGGCGTTGGATGCGACAGCTGAGTCGGAGGCGTCCATAGTGGCGGGCGTGCCGGCTCTCGCTTGGTGCGGTGCGGAGCATGAGCGAGACGCCGCAGCAGCCGGCGTGCAGCGCGAGCTGCATGGGCAGCGCGGCGGTGAGGCTCACGAGCAACAGCTCCGCCTGCCCACACACGGTCGCGTCAGGAGACATCGTCACAGCTTGGCGTGGCGGACGAGCAGGATAGCGTCCGCCGGCTTCATTGGCCCTACGGGCACGGCGCCGCCGCCGCCGCCCCTCCGCTGCTGCTCTTCCGGCTCGTCGTCCTCGCCGACACCCTTCCGCAGCTCCTCCGGGTCGCCCTCTCCATTCTCGCTGAGCAGGCGATCGTCGGCGGCTTCCGCCGGTGGAGACAGCTGCATGAGCCGCTTGTTGAGCACGTTCCGCAGCTGGAGCGATAGATTTGCCAGCATCGCCTGCTCACACCGCGCAGCCGTGCCGAGGTGCTGTCACTGCCCACTGCAAACAGATCTTGCCAGCGTTGCCACAGCGATGCCCGCGCTCAGGTCTGACGCCTTTCCGGCGCTGTGCCGCTGTGACACGCTGGCAACGAGCACGCCGCTGACGGTGGTCGCCGTCGCGAGCGCCGCTGTCGCCCCCGGCCAGCGATGGTCCCACACGCCCACGATGACCATCGCGAAGAACGGCTGAGTTGCGGAGCAGAGGGCGCGCTCTTGTCTGTTGGGAGAGAGAGAGAAGGGGGGGGAGGGAGGGAGGGAGGGAGGGAGAGGCGATACGAACTGTGGCACTAGGGATTGAGGCCAGGGTGCGAGATGCTGCAGCGCTAGCAGCAGCCGCGGTGGTGGCCCGCGCCTCGCAAGTCTTAATGACGTGGGTGAAGGAGACGGAGAGGAGGACGAGTGAGACGTTGGTGCAGAGGGTGCCACACAGCAGCAGCACCGAGGACACTGTCAGCTGCCTCCGCCACGCCCACCACCGAGCCGGGTCGAGGTCGCTGCCAAAGGCAAAGGCTGCGGGCAGCGCGAGGCCGCCCGCCATCATCTGCAGGCTGGTGAGCAGCATGACGTCGGGGAGGAGGGCGTGGGAGCGCTTCATCCCGATGTTGAAAAAGAGGTTGGCAACGTACCAGACGGCGATGAGGGTGGGCAGCATGCCAGCCGCTGCCCAGTCGTCTGGTACCCTCTCTGCTACCCTCTCTGCTACCCTCTCTGCTACGTGCTACCCTCTCTGCTACCCTCTCTGCTACCGAGAGAGAGAGAGAGAGAGAGAGAGAGAGAGATGTAATGAGTGGGGGGGGGTGCCCGTGAAGAGCATGGTGAGGTGGGCTGGAGACAATCTATGGAGGAGAAGGGAGGTGACGGATACAGTGCTGCTGCATTTGACGAGAGTAGACTTGGGTGAAGAGGTGCGGCTTGGGACCAGAGTGGACGGGAAGTCTGGGGTCTCGATGGCGTGTCTTTGGATACAGGCGGTTGCTGGTGGACTAAAACCCTGCTGCAACGCGTATGGTGGATTTAGGTACGAAGTGGGATGCGGGCATCTGGAGGCGATTGCCGCACGATGGGACTTATACTTTGTGAAAGTAGACCGCTGTGTGTTCTGGAAATTTACCTTGGTGCCAGAGGATACTACTGCGGAGAGGCAGTGGACAAAGCTAGCCGGAGGGCTCTTCCCCTCAGAGGTGGCGGAGGACCTGTTGTGCGTCTCCGCTGACGCGGCAGCAACTAGGCGCAGGATGCAGGCCACGTCAGCCCGTGATTCGCAGACCCGACCCGTGCGCAAAGCCGCCCGGAGGGGGTAGTTTTTTGCTTGTTACGTACTTTTAGCTTACTGGGAGAAAAGAGAGAGGGTTTGTGTTCTCTAGGCCCCTAAGGTCTCTCTCTCTCTCTCTGCTTGTTTGTTGTTGTAGATCTACACCGCCTTGAGATGTAAAAATCACATATTCAGTAAGAGTCTGATGGGTATGCCTCGGCAGCGTGCACCTCGATCCTGTACCGTGTTTGTTATGACCCCCCCCAATGAACACACCAGTGAGGGAGGGCGAGACGATCGAGGGGTCCCGTACCATGCGGAACCGACCCTATCCAGTGCTCAAGTGCTCAAGCTTCCCCGCGCGCGGGTTACCCCGCACACGGGTCAGCCTGCCTTCTCACGAGTTGGATGAGCAGCGCCTCGCTCCAGAGTCTCCAGCTGCTGCTGGCGCAGTGTCGCGCCGGCACAGTCACGCCACCGACACGCGTTCACCGCGTCGCTCTGACCGCCGTTCCAAAGCCAACACAGCCGCCGCCGCCGCCGCCGCCGCCGCCGGCGAGCGAAGCCGTGGCAGCGGCGCCGACGCCCACCGCGGCTCGCTTCGTCGACATCGGAGCGAATCTGCTCGACTCGATGTTTGCCGGCAGCTACCGCGGCAAGCAGGCGCACGAGGCCGACCTCGACGCCGTCCTGGCGCGAGCCGCCGCGTGCGGCGTGCAGCACGCCATCGTCACCGCCGGAACGCTCGAGGAGTCGAGGCTGGCGCTCGAGCTCGTGCGTCGGCAGCGCGCCGGCGGCTGCCCCGTCCGGCTCCACTCGACCGTCGGTGTCCACCCCACGCGCTGCCTTGACTTTCTGCCCGAGGCGGATCGGGCCGAGAGAAGACTACCACTCCCACTCGAGCAAGAACACCTGGTACGCAATTCAAGAACAATCATGGCAGGCGGAGAGGGCCGAGATCGAGGCGGCGATGGCGGCGGCGGCGGACGGCGGCGGCGGCGGCGAGGAGACGCTGGCGGCGATCGAGGCTGAGGTGCTTGCGCGGCCTTCAGTGATGGCGGCGATTGAGGCGCACGCGCAGGCGCTGCGACGCCTCCTGTCGCAGGGGCGGGAGGTGAACTCTCCCCGTATCTCCCCATGTCTCCCCATATCTCCTCTGTCATAGGGGCGGCAGGCGGGCCTCGCCGCCGTAAAAAACAATAAGAGTGTGTTGACCAGGCACACGGTGATACGAACGAATGGCATTGACGATAGGAGGGCCTCGTCGCCGCCATCGGCGAGCGCAGCCTCTAGCTCAGAGCCGGCTAGATGGGGAGATATGGCGAGATCTTGGGAGATATGGCGCAGCCTCTAGCTCAGAGCCCCGGCTAGATGGGGAGATATGGCGAGATCTGGGGAGATATGGCGAGATATGGCGCAGCCTCTAGCTCAGAGCCCAGGCTCTATTCGTCCGTACAGCTGGTTACGCGCGATACCTTCCCAGGCGAGTGCGACAGCGAGGCATATCTCCCCACATCTCCCCACATCTCCCCACATCTCCCCACATCTCCCCACATCTCCCCACATCTCCCCACATCTCCCCACATCTCCCCACATCTCCCCACATCTCCCCACATCTCCCCACATCTCCCCACATCTCCCCACATCTCCCAGGTGAGTGCGGCCTCGACTACGACCGGCTGCACTTTTGCCCTCGGCTCGTGCAGCGGGCAGGCCTCCCCGCCTAGATGGGGAGATATGGCGAGATCTGGGGAGATGTGGCGAGATCTGGGGGGATGTGGCGAGATCTGGGGAGATCTGGGGAGATGTGGGGAGATGTGGCGAGATGTGGCGAGATCTGGGGAGATGTGGGGAGATATGGCGAGATATGGCGAGATATGGGGAGATCTGGGGAGATATGGCGAGATCTGGGGAGATGTGGGGAGATATGCGGAGATATGGGGAGAATGTATGCGGAGAATATAGCCGAGATATAGCCGAGTCACACCTCTATGCCGCTGCACCCGGGAAGCGGAAGTGTCGTACCGATCTCCCCCGACCTCCCCCGACCTCCCCAGACCTCCCCCGATCTCCCCACATCTCCCCACATCTCCCCACATCTCCCCACATCTCCCCCGCAGGCTTCGCGGCGCAGCTCGGCTTGGCGACGGAGGGCGGCCCGCCGCTCTTCCTCCACAACCGCGCGGCGCGGGGCGAGTTCGCGGCCATGTGCAAGGAGAGGCGCGGGGCTGTCGGGGCGGCGGGAGGGGTCGTACACTCGTTCGACGGCGACGCGGCGGAGCTGGAGCAGCTGCTGTCGCTAGATGCGGAGCAGAGACCCGCCACATGTGTCTATCTGAAGGATGAAGTTACTTCAGGAAGTAAGTATTCACTGCACTATAGCACGGGCTCGCACCCCCCAACCGCTTACTAGGAACCCCTCGCCTTATTGTTTGGCCCCCCCAGGCCACACACAGACCTCTAGACCGGTCACTGGGGCCTTCAGATAGACACATGGCCGCCCCGACTCATGCACATAGCCACACAGCCCCAGCCGGACCCTCAAGACGGACCCTCAAGACGGCACCTCGGGTCGGAGGTACGACCTCCGTGCGTAGTCCGGTCTCCAAGCAGCGCTCGAGAGGACGCGTGTTTAGCTGCACTTCGGCCGTAGTCGGCCGCATTCCGCCGTACCCCGCGGCACGCGAGTCGCTCGTTTCGACGCGGTGTTGGCTCTGAGACCGTCTTTCCGCCCCGATGTTGGCGCAGTCGCCACGGAGACTGCTCTCGCTCGGCCACGGCACGGCCCACGGGACTGAACCCACGCTGGGTTCGAGACTCTGGAGTTGTGGTACACGTAGGCTGCTCTCGCTCGGTCTCGAGATCGGCATCAACGGCTGCTCGCTCAAGACCCGAGGCGGCTCAGCGAGTCGGTGGGTCGAGGACAACGAATCGCTCGCCCCTAATCACTAGGCTGTTTGCTCACATCTCCCCCCATCTCCCCATATCTCCCCATATCTCTCCATAGCTCACCCCTAATCACTAGGCTGCTCGCTCACATCTCCCCCCATCTCCCCATATCTCCCCATATCTCCCCATATCTCTCCATAGCTCGCCCCTAATCACTAGGCTGCTCGCTCACATCTCCCCCCATCTCCCCATATCTCCCCATAGCTCTCCATAGCTCACCCCTAATCACTAGGCTGCTCGCTCACATCTCCCCCCATCTCCCCATATCTCCCCATAGCTCTCCATAGCTCACCCCTGATCACTAGGCTGCTCGCTCAAGACGGAGGCAAACCTGGCCGTCGCGGCGCGAGTGCCGCTGGGCCGGCTTCATCTGGAGACGGACGCTCCGTGGTGCGATGTCGGGGAGATCTGAGGAGATCTGGGGGAGAGATGGGGGAGAGATGGGGGAGAGATGGGGGAGAGATGGGGAGAGTTCACCTGCAGGACTGGTGCTGGGTGTCGAGCGTACGCGCGGGCAGGTGTGAAGAGCGTGTCGTCACACACGTGTGGGCTGTGAACAGGTGCGGCGTCAGGCGCACGCACGCGGGCGCCTCGCACCTCCGCCCGCTGCGCCACGCCGCCACCGGAGCGGTTTGCGGTTGGGCCGAGGAGAAGAAGGAGCGGTGGCGGCGCGGCGCGACGGTCAAGGACCGGGGCGAGCCGTGCCACATCCAGCACGTCCTGCAGGTGAAATCTCCCCAGATCTCCCCAGATCTCCCCAGATCTCCCCATACCTCCACATCCAGCACGTCCTTCAGGTGACTTGGAGCCGAGATGCAGCTGCGATAGCTGACATCGCGCCGAGATGGGAGCCGAGATGCACAGCCGAAATGCAATCGAGAGGCAGCCGAGATGCAGTGGAGAGGCTGAGTCGCGCTACACAGCCGAGAGTTAAATACAGACGTGTGCGTGTACTGCAGGTGGTCAGCGGCGCGCGGGGCGGAGGAGAGGAGGGCGAGGCGGAGGTGGCGGCGGCCGCGTTCGCAAACTCAGTGCGCGTCTTTGGACTGGCGTCGTGACAGTTCCAGTCGTGAAGCTTTACTCAATAAAGCGCCATCTTACACGCGTGTACAGGAACACCTCGGAGTCGGACCACGCGCACAAACCGTACACGTACTCTCCCGCCCTCCAGCCTCCTGCTGCACCCGTCGAGCGTGCCCCCCGTTGCGCCCTCTGCCCCACCTCCTCCTCACGTCCTCACAGCCCCGGCGCCCACGCCTCGATCTTCTTAGTTCTTTGTGGCAGCAGCTGGTCCCGCGACAGATCCTCACCGTGGCCTAGGCAGCCGGTGTCCGTGGCCCCAAGTGAGGACAGCGCCGTCGGCGGTGAGGACGAGGCCATGCGTCCCCCCAGCCGCCACAGCGACGACGCGCTGCCCCGCCAAGGCCGTCGACCGATGGTGAAACAGAACTCAAGTCTCGGAAATGATGGGCGGGTTGCAGAATGACGGTCGCGGCTGGCTTCGAGGCGCCCCTCTTTGGCGCGCGCGTCTTCGGCCAGGTCACCACGCTGCCGCTCGAGGACGAGGACGGCACCACGCAGCCTTTCGACGACGAGGACGGCATTCTGGCAGCGCGCAACGTGTACGGTGTCGTGAGCGATCGCGCGGGCGCTTGGTACGTCACCACTGATGACTCAGTGCTGCACGTCTCTGCGGCCGGGCGCGTGCGCAGCGTGGCAACCCTGGAAGGCACCCTCCCACGCGGCGTCACCATCAGCCCCGACGGCAGCGCTCTGTTTGTGACAGACTACAGCAACCACAAGATCATGCAGGTGGAGGCTGCGGCCGGCGCGGTGACCACTCTCGCGGGCAGTGGCACCGAGGGCAGCGCTGACGGCGTGGGTGGCGCGGCGCAGTTCAGTCGCCCAAACGGCGTCGTCATCAGCTCCGACGGAAGGGCGCTGTTTGTGTCGGAGTGGGGCAACCACAAGATCCGGCGGGTGGAGGTGGCGACGGGCGCGGTGACCACGGTGGCGGGCAGCGGCACTCGCGGCAGCACTGACGGCGTGGGTGGCGCGGCGCAGTTCTACTACCCACACGGCGTCGCCATCACCGGACGGCAGCGCTCTGTTTGTCACTGACTTCCGCGGTTTCAAGATCCGGCGGGTGGAGGTGGCGACGGGCGCGGTGACGACGGTGGCGGGCAGCGGGGCCGGGGGCAGTGCTAATGGCGTGGGCGGCGCGGCGCAGTTCTACTACCCACACGGCGTCGCCATCAGCCCAGACGGCAGCGCTCTGTTTGTGGCAGACCACTTCAACCACAAGATCCGGCGAGTGGAGGTGGGGACTGGCGAGGTGACGACGGTGGCGGGCAGCGGCACTCGCGGCAGCGCGGATGGCGTGGGCGGCGCGGCGCAGTTCAACAGTCCATACGACATCGCCATCAGCACCGACGGCAGCGCTCTTCTGGTTTGCACGAGCGGCTCCCTCCGCCAGGTCTGCGTGTCGGCGCCTCCTCCGCCTCCCACCTTCGCGCCGATTGTGGTGCCGCCCTCGACCCTGGTGGCCGACCTCGGAAAGGCGTGCGGCGACCCCGATCTCCCTGAGGGCAAGGTCACCTTCATCGTCGGCGATGACGCGGAGCGCTACGAGCACGTGAGCAAGAACCTGCTCTGCATTCGGTCCGTGTTCTTTCGGACCATGTTCGGCATCGGCATGAAGGAGCGCGACGCCGCCGAGGTCACGGTGCGCGAAACCGACCTCACCACCTTCACCGCCCTCGTCCGCTACCTCTGCACCGACCAGCTCGACCTCGGCGAGGAGGAGGGCGGCAGGGCGCAGCGCGCGCTCGACCTGCGGCAGCTGGCGCAGATGTACCAGGTGCCGCGCCTCGAGCTGCTCTGCGCGCAGGCGCTGCAGGAGAGCGTCGCGCCGGCGACCGCCGTGCCGCTGCTCGAGGCGGCGCACGCGACGGGCGACGGGCGGCTCCTCGCGCAGTGCCGCCGCTATGTGGCCGACAACGCCGCCGAGGTGCGGGCGAGCGGCGGCGTGGAGCAGCTGCGCGACTTTGGCGTGGCCAAGGGGCTGCTCGGCGACGCGCTCGACCAGGTGGCGGAGCTCAAGGGGGCGGTGGCGGCGCGCGACGCGGAGCTCGAGGAGAACCGCAACCGCACGCAGGGCGGAGGAGCCTGAAGGCTGAAACGATTGCTCGCGGAGCTGCGCGCTCGCGACCCCCCCTCCGGCGTACGTTAGCGGCGTACTTTACCGCTACCGGCGACGCGGCGGGATGCGCGCGAGCGACCCGGTCAAGTACGCCGCCGCGGAGAGACGACACTGCGCGGGAGGGAGAGCAGCGGGTTTTGTATCCTGCCTATACGGCCTAGCTGCCATAAAGTCAGCGCCACCCCGCATGGGCCCGCCGGGCGCCGCCAGTCTGCAGTCACCGCCGCGGCAAAACCTGCCGCTAAAAGCCGGCGGGCCGGCGCGCGGCGCGGCGCGCCAGACGAGAGACGTGCGCCGCGCGGAGGCGAAGCGTCACGGACGAGAGGTTCAGGTTGCGTTCCCGAGCGAGGACGGAGCTGCAGCAGGGGAGGAGTTAACATGCACATTCCGAACAACTCAGGTAAGAATGACACAGTGAGTCCAGGACTGCACGAGATTGTTCGCGCGCAAATGGTAAATGCTGACTGTGTCTGTGACATTCTATAGCGCCGCCGTGGGCCGTTAGCCCCACCCGGCGCGAAAAGGAGCGGCGGACATCGGCGTCCCGGGCGGCGCAGTGCCCGCGCGGCGGGTTGCGCCTAAAATGATCCCGCCGCTTCGCTCGATGGCGCCGCGCTCTCCTCGAGAGATCTCCTCGAGAGATCTCCTCGCTCAAGGCGAGGGGAGGCCGGAGACGCCTCGGGGGCGCACCCGGGCATCTCCTACTCCCCATGCGGCTCACAAACCGTTGCAAACATGTCAACCCGGCCCAATTTGTTTTCGGACCGTTGCTGTTTTTTTTGGAATGGAACCTGCACCAAAGTTCCTCAAGGTCGGCACATTGTTTTCATGGGCGACTCGGGGACACTCAAAGCCGCTAAGTCTTTTTTTCGCCGCGTACAGAGGAGCACGTGCTGCAAACGCACCGCCAAGGCCGCCTCGTGAGCCGGCGAGCCGAGCCCTGTTCATAGCAGAACGTGTGGACGGCGTCGCTTCACACCTCGAGCCGTGAACGCCGTCCGGCAACTTCTCACCGCCCCAAGGGCGCTCCGCGCCGTGCAAACGGCGCCGAGCGCGTAGCGCAGCACACGCGCGACACGCCCCTTGCACGGCGTCTGATAAAACGGCGCCTCGAGCCCTATCCGAGTCGAATAGTGAGAAAAGCGTCTCTTCACACCTCAAAGCCGTTAGGTCTTTTTCGCCATCAAACCGCTCTAGCGGCGCTGCGCCCCGCGTGGAGAGCGCGGCGCGTGAAGAGGAGCACGCGCTGCGGCGGCGCTGATCCGGCGGGCGGCGGCGCCGTGGTCGCCGGCAAGCCACTCGCTCTTCCCCGCGCCGGCCCGCGCGCGGGCGGCGCTCCTCGTCCTCTCGATCTACGAGATCCACGAGCTGTCTTTGAGTTGCGCTCACGGCCGACGGCGCTGTCTTTGAGTTGCGCGCACCGTGCTGCTGCACGCGGTGGCGAGCGAGGGAGAAGAGTAGAGTGCGAGGACGCACGACGGGACGTATACTACCGCGCGGCGTCGTTGTGCTCGTCTCTTGGCGAGCTCAAGCTGCTGCTGCCGGCGTTGCATTCGAACACAGCTTCGCCCCCGGGCGAGGACGTGTGTAGGTGTTTGGGCGGGGGTAGAATGCATCTCTTACCTGCAGTGTCCTCACACAGCCGCGCAGGGCGTAGCCAAGCAGCCAACAACCTTGGGGTGAACCCCTGTCTGGTGTCTGTGGGTGCGCGCTGCCCAAGTGCACAAGTGTGTGGAACGCAAAAGCAAGGGCAGGTCGGAGCTTACCGGAGCTTACCAGGTCGGAGCTTACCTGCCGCGACCCGCACCGCCGCCGCCGCTCTCCAGCCGCCAAACGCGGCACCAGCGCCGCCGGCGCCTCTCCCATCTCACCACCTGCACCCACCGCCGCCGCTCTCGCCACGCCCACGGTTCCGTTGAAACCACAGCGCCCGCGTGACGGCCGCCCTGTACTCGCACCGGGATGCCAGCGGGCGCGGCACCGCGCGTCGGCGGCGGCGGCGGCGTCAAGCGATCGCGCTATGACGACGCGCAGAGGGGCAGCGACGACACGCTCTGCCTGAGGCGGCTGCCGGAGTGGGTCGGCGAGGACAGCCTGGCGGGCCTGGTGAGCAATCTGCCCGGCTACCGCCACCTCAAGCTCCTCCCCACCAACGGGACGAAGACGCTGTTTGTGCTCTTCGAGAGCGCGAGCCTCGCAGCCGCCGGGCTCGAGGCGCTGCAGGGCAGGGAGGTCTGCGGCTCCGGCGGGCAGCCGCATAGGGTCGAGGTGGAGATCGCGCGCCGGTCGCTGCAGCTCTCCCCGCCACGCGACTATAGGAGCGGGAGAGGCGGCCTCCGCGGTGCGCGGGGCCGTGTCGGGTCGAGACCCCGATTGAAGGTTCGGGATGTCGGTCGGGCTGTGTTTTGATATCTGAAAACAACTTAGCACGCGGCGCACCGCGCAACACGCGCAAAAAAGCGCACAACCGGTGCGCGCAGTGCATGGCGGCAGGGAACACCCGCCAAGTGTGGGCGGTGTGTACCCCAAGCGCGAAAGTAGCAAGAACTACTGGTCCGTTCACATCAAGCACGCTCGCGAAGGATCGCGTTCCCCGGCGCTGCGCTGCGCGGGCTTGGGCACCGCTTGGTAGTTGGTCCCTTGCCCCCCGTTGCGGTAGATGCTAAAATCTTCACCGCGCGTTGGGGGCTCAAGGTGACGCCCGCGCCTCCTGCCACTCTCGAATCGTCCGGCGCAAGTTGTGGTTCGGGATCAGGATACTATGCTCGAGCTCGCCGCCGGTCAGCGGGCTCGTCGACTTGGTCGCAAGCCAACGCTCGATCGCCGTCCGCTCATACGACTGCCCATCGGCCGCCACGACTGGCTCGACCATAATCTCGGTCGTGATCGGGCAGATGAAGTCGGCCGGCGGCTCCTCCTCCTCCTTCGCAACCGGCGCCTCGGCAGCAGCCGACGGCGAACCAGCCTCGGTCGCAGCGACAAGCGTCCGCTCCTCCACCACCGGCCTCGCTCCCTCCAGCCTCGCGCTCTCCTCGAGCGCCGCCGCCAGCTCCGCCTCCTCTACCGCCGCCGCCGCCTCGCCCTCTCCCGCCTCTTCCGCCTCATCCTCGGGCTCGTGCGACGGCCCAGCGCTTCCGCCGCCACCCCTCCCCTTCTTCTTCTTCTTCTTACCCTTCTTGCTCTCCTTGGCGCGCCCCGCCTCCTTCTCCGCCTCCTCCTCCGCCAACAGCGCCTCGGCATGCCGCGCCGCCTCCGCCTCTGCCGCCGCACTCTCCACCGCCATCGCCGCTGCCTGCGCCGCCGCGTGCTCCTCGAGGGCGCGCACGCACTCGCTGTGGCCCCTCCCTTCGGCCAGCTGCAGCGCCGTCCTGCCGCCCGCATCGCAGGCCGTCGTATCCGCGCCCGCCCGCAGCAGGAGGCGCACACTGGCGGGGTGGCCGTTGGCGGCGGCAACCATCAGTGCGGTGCCGCCGTAAATGTTCTGCAGCTTGATCTCCGCGCCGCGCTGAAGCAGCAGCTCGACCACCCGCTCGTGGCCTTCGATGGCGGCGAGAATCAGCGCGGTGTCGCCGTCACTCTTCTGCAAGTTGGCATCCGCGCCGTGCTGCAGCAGCAGCTCGACCACTCGCTCGTGGCCTTTGGTGGCAGCGTGCATCAGCGCGGTGAAGCCGTCGCTGCTCTGCAGGTTGATCTCCGCGCCGTGCTGCAGCAGCAGCTCGACCACTCGCTCGTGGCCGCGGTTGGCGGCGAGCATCATCAGCGTGATGCTGCTCCCATCGCCCGCCCGGCAAGTCGCATTTACCCGCCCGCCGCTTTCGAGCCACGCCAACAGCGCCGCCTCGTCGCCATTGAGAGCTGCTGCCACCGCTTCGTTGGGAAGGCTGCCCAAGGCCACGGCCCTCGCTCCCGCCGCCGCCTCGCCCGAGGAAGCACCGCCCGCGCCGCCCGCCGCCGCCTCGCGGTGGCTCGCAGTCACCTCTGCGATGTGCTGCCGGAAAGCCTCAACGCACTCGGCGTGGCCCTCCTCCCTGGCATACTGCAGCGCTGACTTGCCGTCCTCAGTGCGCAACTTTGTATCCGCGCCCGCCCGCAGCAGGCGGAGCACGGCGGCGGGGTGGCCTTGGCAAGCGGCACACATAAGCGCGGTCCAGCCGTCGCTGCCTTGCAGGTTGACCTCCGCACCGCACTGAAGCAGCAGCTCGACCACCCGCTCGTGGCCCTCCTGGGCAGCGAGCATCAGCGCTGTGCCGCCGTCGCTGCCTTGCAGGTTGACCTCCGCACCGCACTGAAGCAGTAGCTCGACCACCCGCTCGTGGCCCTCCTGGGCAGCGAGCATCAGCGCGGTGCTGCCGATGCTGTTCTGCAGGTTGGCAACCGCGCCGCGTTGAAGCAGCAGCTCGACCACCCGCTCGTGGCCCTTCTGGGCGGCAACCATCAGCGCGGTGATGCCGCTCACATCGCCTACCACGCGCGTCGCATTGACCCCCCCGCCGCTGTCAAGCCACGCCAGCATTTCTGCCTCGTCGCCGTCGAGAGCTGCTTCCAGCGCCTCTTTGGAAAGGCTGCCCAGCGTAACGGAAGAGGCCGCCGCCCTCGCTCCCACCGCCGCCTCGACCGAGGAAGCGCCGCCCGCGCTGCCCGCCGCCGCCTCGCGCCGGCCCGCAGTCACCTCCGCGATATGCTGCCGGAAGGCCTCGACGCACTCACTGTGGTCATTCTCCTTGGCCATCTGCAGCGCGGACTTGCCGTCTGCAGCGCGCAGCTTTGTATCCGCGCCAGCCCGAAGCAGGCGGAGCACGACGGCGGGGTGGCCATGGAGGCCGGCGCGCATCAGCGCGGTGTCGCCGATGCTGTCCTGCTTGTTGACCTCCGCGCCGCGCTGAAGCAGCAGCTCGACCACCCGCTCGTGGCCGTCGCCGGCGGCGCCCATCAGCGCGGTGACGCCCTTGCTGTTCTGTAGGTTGACATCCGCGCCATGCCGAATCAGCAGCTCGACCACCCGCTCGTGGCCGTAGCGGGCGGCGGTCATCAGCGCGGTGTAGCCGTCGCTGTTCTGCAAGTCGATCTCCGCGCCGCGCTGCAGCAGAAGCTCGTTCACCCGCTCGTGGCCGTCCTGGGCGGCGAGCATCAGCGCGGTGCCGCCGTCGCTCCTCTGCAGGTTGATCTCAGCGCCGCGCTGAAGCAGCATGTCGACCACCCGCTCGTGGCCGTCCTGGGCAGCGAGCATCAGCGCGGTGAAGCCGTCGCTCTTCTGCAGGTTGACGTCCGCGCCGCGCTGAAGCAGCATGTCGGCCACCCGCGCATGGCCGTAGTAGGCGGCGCCCATCAGCGCGGTGCCGCCATTGCTGTTCTGCTTGTTGACCTCCGCGCCGCGCTGAAGCAGCAGCTCGACCACTCGCTCGTGGCCGTTGAGGGCGGCGTGCATCAGCGCGGTGACGCCGGTGCCCACATTGCCTGCCCAGCAAGTCGCATTGACCCGCCCGCCGCTTTCGAGCCACGCCAGCAACGCCGCCTCGTCGCCTCGCCCGGCCGCTGTCCACACCGCACGGGGAAGGCTGCCGGTCTCCGCCACGGTGTTAGCTAGCTCGTGCACCTCATTGGGCGCTTCCTCCGCCATCTTATGCAGTTTTTCTTTTTGAGCTTAGCCTTCGATGTTCTCGAGGTTCTCGAGGTGGATATCCTTTGGCCGCGTTGGGTAGCGAGGATTGGTGTAACCCGAGCCACGGAGGCGTGTTTTCTGACGGCCGACCGTCAGTGCACGGAGTTGCCACTTCTCCGACTGCCCCGGCTAGTTCCCGAGGTCGTCGGGTGTGACCCCTTCGTCCCCCGAGACCTAGCGCGGGTGGGTTGGAGGGGCCACGGAAAGGCGCGCAAGCACGCCCTACGTCTTCCCCTCCTCCCCATCGGGCCGCGTGAGCGGCCACGCCTCGCAGATTCGTTTCTCGCGCCTGGGTCAGGCGCGCGGGGCATCCCCCGGGTCGCTCGACCAGCGATCCGAAGAGTGGCCGCTATTAGCCACGCCGGCT